TATTATGTCAGGAAGAAATGAAACATCATTTACTAGCTGTGGGAGGAGGACATAAAGGCCAGGAAGTGTATTTTGAGGATGAATCCAGCTCAGAGATTTAATTGGTTCTCATAGTCTGTACAATGGTATGTGCCACTCAAAGTAGATTTTCTGATTGTAGTTATCCAAGGAGAAACAAGGCAAAGTTAATTAATCACTTTTTTATCTTGTGAGATTTTACATTTTTGGTTGTTCTAATCATTAACAAGTGACTTTTAGATATTACATTATATGTAAATGGTCTCATCTGTGCATAAGACTCTTAATACAACTGGTAAATATTGAATATCACTGTTCTGAGTACTGGCTAAGTATTGGCTCATTTACTCTTCATATTCTCATTTAATCCCAAGAGGTAGATACTACAAATAAGGAAAATGAGAAGGCCAATGTCAGTAACATTCCTGAGGACACTAAAGTAATAAATAATGGAACTTTTGAACCTACAAACCACAATCTTAAACATGAAATTCTTATGAGGGCTCTGCAATGCTTGAACCACAGAGCATCTGGGTCTTTAACGTGCATCTATACCACTTAGAGACCTTGCTACAAGGTAGATTCTAACTCAGTAGATCTGCGTTGGAGCTAAGGCATCTGCATTTCTAACACACTCTCAGGTGGTGCTAATATTGCTGGTGCCAATATCAAGGCACCAGACCATTGCATTTGTACACTATTTGTATACAGAAGCTAAAACTAAATTTCAAGAACAAGTAGATTCATTCTTAGTTCAGTGGTAAAAGCTAAATAATTGGTTATCTCAGTCCAAAAAAATTGCAATGAGATGAGATTTCCTGAGCCTTGTTAATGAATCTAGGCTGATCTCATGTTGAGATATTGTTGATAATTTTGATTATAAAATGTAGTTTAGTGTATAACGATTAATAGTGAGTTAAGTCTGTAATGCAATTCTTCTTAAATATTTGGTTATTTGGTCTTCACAACAGGCCTGAGAGGGGTGGAGGAAACAGACACATGAGGCTACCGCTATAGGTCTCTGAGGCAGCAGTGCCAACACACAGATGCCCAAACTCTTCTCTTTCATCAGCTGACCTTGATGTGAGGCTATGTTCCATTGAGGTGCTAAAAGTAAATTGGTGCAGAACAAGGCTAGTACTAAAACAATTTAGAGCCACTGTCTGATTTTGCTCTAAATCTGAAGATAGCAAGACCAAAGTGATTCAGAAGCATTAAGAGTAATTTTCAATTGTGACTGTATTAATTTGAACCTGCCTAAATATAAACAACATAGCTGCACATATTTTATTATGCTGCTAAAAGATAAATAAGCCATTTTCTTAAAAAATAATTTCTATATTATTGATTTTTAGAGAGAAAGGAAGGGAGACGGAGAGAGAGATTGAGAAACATCAATGCGCTGCCTCATACAGGCATGTTATCTGGGGTTGAGCCTGCAAGCTGGGCATGGGTCCTACCCAAGATTCAAATCAGCAACCTTTTTGTGCAAGGAATGGTGCCCAACCTACTGAGCCACACTGGCCAGGGCAAGAAGCCTTTTTTCTTATCCTACTCCCTTACTCATATGGGGTGATATGAGTATCATTTCCTTTGAAGATGCTATAGGTTTGGTGTAGCTGACAGGTTATTCCACCATATTTTAATGAAACTATGGTGGAATTACTGTCTTTATATGTATATATATTCAGAATTCAGAGTTGATCTCTAAATGTTAAGTATATTTGCCATCCTTAAAATGCTAAGTTTTCACAGGAAAAAATCTCTTTAACTTACTAGTACTGTGAAGACTAAGTAATGAAGATAAATCAACAAATGCTGTTGTCAGTCACTAGAAAAGGAAAATATAAGAATCTCTACCTGTAAAAACATCTAAGAATAGACAGCAAAGATTCTTCAAGCCCAGACCTTATAAATAAATTGATCATTTGTGTTATTTTTCTGACAAATGACAAAAAAAACCTCCATTCTTGAAAGAAATGACTAAGTAGCACTTCATTACCATTGTGTTCACTCAACAAACTTGATATTACTTTAACAATGAGCTTATTTTTTTAATGTGTTTTCTTCAAGTGTACACTTACCTCTAACACGAATGACTAGGTGTATTCTAAGCCATATTAACAGTTACTATTGAATCATCAAGTTGTACTGAACAAGCTGTGCAGAGGTTCTCTGAGGGAGTTTGCAACTATGGTGCTCCAGTCATGTTGAGCGGTAATCCCTAGGGCGCCGTCATTACATGATCATGTAAGGGAGGTTTCTGAAAAGGGTCATAGGTGAACTGGATGACCAAATCCCCCACCCCCTGATATGATTTAATTATTTCCTATCAGCGTCCAGGATTAGTAGCGAGCATCACAATACCTGTCTAATAAAAAATGTGAATAAATCAGATGTTTTGTCCTTTAATTTTTGTTGGTGTCTATTCAGAAGGTATGGATAGCACAGAAATGGACAGGTAATATGGCTTTTGCTTACCTCTCTCGCTTTTCATTGGCCACTCCTTCAGAACACCCTGGCCCCCCGTCCTCACTTCTTCCAAGGCTCAAGCTCCTCCTAGCTCTCGGCCTTTAGACTCAGAGCTTCCGCTGGCCACAGTAAACACCCCCAGCTTCACTCTTGGGTTTTCTTATGACATATACTTTCATAGTGGTACATTTCCTTCAGAATAGTTGCTGCAAGTAATTTTTCCAACTCTTCATTTACCAATGTTTTTATTTTCTACCGTACTATAAGCAACATGAGAGTAGGGGATTTGCTTATTCATCATTGTACCCTTACCCTCTTCACAGTGCTTAACCCCTAGTAGTTCAGTAAATATTTCTTGGTTAACAGTACATAAACTAGGGTGAAGTTCTGAGTCATTGCTCAGGTTTACATGTTTTATAATGACTAGTGGATAATGCTTTGTGTGTGTAGAGACAATGTGTTGAATCTTTAATTTAAAAGTAGAATATTTTGCAAAATAAATTGAGAATTGTCCAGATGTGATTGTAAAAAATTCAATCCTAAATGAAAGGGTTTCTTTAATGAGAACATACTTAAGACCTAGGGAATATTTATCATGGATGAAGTGTTTTGGAGCTATGCCTTGTAAAGGTTTATTGACCAGTATTGGGATTGACCAGAAGTAGAATTCTTGATTTCCCTCTTTATATATACATTATAGATGCATATAGGTATCCAATTTTAAACTACTTTTATAGGGAACTCAGACATTGCATCATTCAGGGAATTATTTCTTAGAGTATAAATAAATGTTTGGTTATTCACTGCTATATTTTGGAGTGTTTGGTGTCATTTAAAAATTCTTACAATGCGCCCTAACAGGTTTGGCTCAGTGGATAGAGCATCGGCCTGCGGACTCAAGGGTCCCAGGTTCAACTCCGGTCAAGGGCATGTACCTTGGTTGCGGGCACATCCCCAGTAGGGAATGTGCAGGAGGCAGCTGATCGATGTTTCTCTCTCATCGATGTATCTACCTCTCTATCCCGCTCCCTTCCTCTTTGTAAAAAATCAATAAAATATATTTTTAAAAAATTCTTACAATGCTTGAATTAGTTTTTCTTCTTCTGTTCATCCTGTTGGCTATTGAAGTATACTGCCGAATAGATTTCTGATATTTAAATAATAAGAAGTGAGAAGCAATATAATTTCATTTAATACTTTATTTTTATTTCTATTATTTTTCAACAGCTTAAGCTTTTCACCCCGATAACTGCAATACACTGGGCTAGCTGAGGAAAACTCAACATCCAGGTAAGATATCAATCACCATACAGTCTTCACCAAATAAATACTAACTGTTGGTTAAAACTATACTTAGAAGTACAGTTTGTCAAAAGATATAATTTTTGAAATGGCAGGCTTAAATTCTTCATCTATGGAGTCCATCTATTCTGGAAATATGCTATGGATGGAAACTTTTTTAAGTTGACAATTAAGTGCTCAGGAAGACATGTATTAGTCCTAAAAAAAAAAAGTCTAAATAAAAGCTATTGTTTTTGAATAATGTATTTTCTGTAGTGACATTAGAAATTAGACCATGCAAGCTTGCACGTACACATCTTTGTTTTATTCTTTTATAAGTAAAGAAATGGTATTCTACCCTAAAATGTCAATAATCTTTAAAATAATCAATTCTGCAAAAATTATTTTGATGGTCCCTGTGAACTTATGACAAGGAATATATCTAGGAAGGCTTCAAAGTCTAAACTATGTTCCATTGCTTGCAGTTACCTTGGGTTTTAACTAGATGTGCAAGTTGACTTCTGACCATGGGGCATCTTCTCCATGCATGGTATGGATTGCTGAGGCCATGGCAGAGAACCAGTTCCACAGAAGCAACTTCATGTTCTTCTGAGGAAGATCCATGGCACTGTGGAACAAGAACTGTAAATGAGCAATGCCATGGAGACCGAGAATGGGGCTACCAAATTACAGCCCGCAAAAATCAACTCTGAAGGTGGAAACGTCTACAAGAAATGTTTAAATAAATAGTTTTAATAAAATAAGTTATCAGGTTAAGAGCACTGATGGATATTCAGTAGAAATGGCATGTGCTCCTTATGGATGTAACAGTTAAAACAGCCATTGATTTCAAGCCCATTAAGTAGATAATCATATGACTGTTACGTTAAAAAAACAACAACACATTTTCAGTAGCACCAGAATTAAGAAGAAAACTTGGATGTCTAGAAAGGAAAACAGCAAATGAAAACATTCAAACTGTAGTAAATAAAATATTTGGCCTTTAATCATTTTGAATTAAATTATGTTTGAAAGCTCCCCTTTCCCCACCCATAGTCACACACAAACACACCAATTTTTAAAATGGCCAAAGAAAGGGTTTACATGGATATTTTTATTAATGGAACTCACTTTTTACTTAGTTTTTAATATGTTGCTAATCCATCCCATTCCTCAAATCCCTTTCTAACAGTCAGTGTCCTGTAGCGTGAGGAGAGCTTCCTGTGACACTAGGGAATGACCTGTTCTGGGCTTAAATGAGAACAGTCTATAAAGTTCGCTCTCTCTTCCTCGGCCATCAGGAATGATAAGGGCATTTCCAGAGGCAAATGATTCTCTTCCCCTCTCTGCTCCTCCTCCTCTAGCCCCTCCTCCTCCTCTTCTATTTCCTCCGCTTCCTCCTCCTCCACCACCTCCTCCACATCTTCAGCCTCTTCCACCTCCTCTTCATCCTGGGCCTCTGCCTCTTCATCCTCCTCCTCCTCACTCTCCTCTTCCTCACTCTCTTCGTCCTTCCCATCACACTCCTCATCACACTCCTCCTCATCACACTCCTCCTCATCTTTCTCCTCTTCCTCTTCCTCCACCAGCTGTGGGGCCGGAGAATGGTTTTCCTCTTCCTCCGGGGCAGGACTAAAGGCCAGAGAGGGATTCTGCCCAAAGCCATACAAAGTGTCCTGCATCTCTGCGTCTTCCTCACCACCACTGGGAGGCGCATCGTTTCCGCCTGCCTGGGCCTGCTGAGCCCGCAGCGCCTCCTGCTGGCGCTCCAGCTTCTCTTGCTGCCGCATGTCCTCGTAGATCTGGTTCATGATGAACTGGGTGGTGTTGCGCGGCGCCTGCAGGCCAGGTGCCCGCCACCCGTACAGGTCGACCGGCTGCAGCAGGGGGCTCACCTCCACCGATGGGCTCCTTGGGGCGGGGCGGCTAGGCTGGCGGCGCAGGCCACGGCCCCTGCGGCCCCAGCGCTTCTTGCGGACAGGGGCCCTCGCCCAGCCGGGGTTCCAGGGCCCACGCCAGCAGAAGCAGCAGCAAAGGCAGATGGGGTGCAGGCCATACATTCGGGCCACTAGCCCAGGGCTGGGGGGCTTCCGGTATCCCATTGGAGGTGGGCACCAGGGCCCTCCCCAGCACCCCCAGTTAGAGTACATGCCCCAGTAAGGACTCTGGGGTGGTTGGAACCAAGGGCCCGGGCCGTACCGTGGCTTCGGCTGCTTCCTCTGGGGCTCATACTCAGCCTTGGGGCCATAGTGCTGCCGCCGCTTGTAAATCGGGGCGCCCCTGCGCCTTCGGTGGCAGGAGGACCAAGTGCGAAACGGAGCAGAGGCTGCCCAGCCGCCGCCCAGGGCTTCCCTTTTATTGAGGGTCTGGGTCATGGTTCAGGGAGCTCCGAGAGGTCTAAGTGGAAGCGTCCTAAACGCTGTCCTCAAATTCGGCCAGATCCGAGGTTCTGAAGCCTCGGCACCCAGTGTCCCTCCGCACAGCACCACGTGCCTGGCTGAGATCCGGCCTTACCCTCCAGAGAGACCCTCTTCTCCGCTCGCTCACTCGCTCTTCTCTGGGAATCTCTCGCCCTTCGCACCCGGGTGGTCTCGCCCAGGTTGGGTGGGACTGCCGCTGTGTAAAGAGGATGGGGAGGAAAGTGTTGAGGCGCCCCCCCCACACCCCCGCCTCCGCAGGGGTTCGAGCTGGGGAGGCAGGGGGTTCCCGTTACCTCGATGGCCCCTCTCAACCCAGGTGCGTCTCCGCCGGCGACCTGGCCAGACTGAGGTGGCGCGGGCAACGACAGCCTTTAAATACCGGTGGGAGGCCCCGCGTGCCACCGCGTCCTTGGTTGCCCTGGGCGACAGCCAATTGGAGTCGAGGTCGTTCCTGAGCGTGGAGGCTGGGTTCGGACCAGAACGAGGTGCCCCGTGAACGTTCGCAGGGGGCTTGTGACGCAATTCTAAGGGGGGCTGGAGGCCGGGTTTCTGTTGCCCCACTTAGGAGACGCTGGTACTTGAACCCTTCGTACCAACCACCTCCGCGTGGGCATGTAGAAGCTGGCCCTGCGGCTGACCGTGGGGTGGGGGTGGGTGGGAGAACTGTGTATTCAGAAACTAATAAACCTATATCCAACCCCTTCGAGGAGAAAGGGGGATAGGGAGAAAGTTCTCCGTGTCAGAAAACGGGGCCCCGCTCCGGGCCTTACGGTCAGTGCCTACTCTTCCAGCCACTGGGCGCGGTGGCTCATGATCCGGGAGCCTGGACGGCAAACCTTTGTTGCGTTGCTTATTGTGCGCTGGGGCTCACGCACAGGACCCTCACGCCTGCCTGTGAGGTGGGCGTTGTCGCCACGCCTGGCAGTTTGGGGAACTGAGAGATTGATTTGCCCAAGGTCGTGGGGCTAATGAACTTTAGGGCTAATATTTAAGCTTATGCTCCTTTGACCCCAGAGCCTAAATTCTTAACATCGGCACGCTGTACTGCACACCCTCCTTAAATAGGATTCTTACGATGAGCAAATGAGACCAGTATGAGAAAGCACTTTGCTAATGGTAATATAGGGCGCAAATGTCCGGTCATGTAATCCAGGGGTTCTTGAAAATACAAATAGTATGTATTTCTTTTTGTCTCGTTATTGGCCAGACAGCACATACATTTGGGGCCTTTACGGTATTATGGTTAAAGAATGAGGTAAAGAATAAGGGCTTGGCCCTGGCCTGTTAGCTAGAGTGTTGGCCTGTGCAGGAGGGTCGTCGGTTCGATTTCCGGTCAAGGGGCATGCACCTGGAGGAACCAATCTCTCTCTCTCTCTCTCTCTAGCTCTCTCTCCTCACTCCTTGGACTTTGATTTAAGTAGACATAAACTTACTTTGAATGGTACAATTTTGTGAATACATGTCATCCTGAATTCTTTCAACTCCATAGAATGTACAACATCAAGAGTGAACTCCAATGTTAACTATGGGATTTGGGCGACAATGATGTGTCAGTGTCATCCATTGTAACAAATGTACCACTCCAGTAGGAATGTTTATAATGCGGGAGGTATGAATGAGTGGGGAGAGGGAGTATATAGGAAATCTCTGTACCCTGTGCTCAATTTTGCTTGAACCTAAAACTGCTCCAAAAAAGAAGAGCTGTTTTAAAAAATAGAAGTGTTTCTACTTCAACTCACGAATCATTAACCTCTGTAAGCTTCCAGTTCCTTAT